ATGAGGCTCCAGGAGATGGCTGTTGTGATTGTATCAAACCCTGGACCTTTCGTGTGAGGCGAGGAAGGAAGAAAGATAGAAACAAGGAAACCATCATTTCCCAAGTACCTACTATGTGAGTACCCAGCATTAGCTTTCTCTGGCCCTGGCCTGTGGGTTTCCTGAGGACAGAGGTTGGGTCTCTTCAACATAAACTTGAGATACAGGTTTCAGAATTAGCTGCTGGAATTACAGGGGCTTAGACTTCCAGGTCAGATAATGCTTTATTGTTCAGATGGGGAAACTGAAGCCTAGGGGAGGAGAAGGACTTTGCTGCATTTCCACGGAGAACCGCTGACATAGCCCAGGCTCAAACCCTGATCCCAGGCCAGGTCTCAGTACGTTGCACCATGTGGTGTAGGGTTGGTGGGTTGTTTGATAGACTGAGGGGCGGGGAAAGGCTGTGGGTCGACAGCAGGGAGTTTGGATGGAGGGGCAGGGTTCTGGCTCCTACCTGCTCCAAAGATGTCATGGACAAGGTTGACAATCTTCTCCTGGGGGATGAGGTCGCCGCTGGCTCCAGACCTCTTCTCGCTGTGCTTGAACAGGGCACCTGTGATGTCCTGGACGCTGTTCTGAGGGGCACAAGCTTAGGGACACCCCTGGCACTTCCAGGGTCAAAGGCTGAACCTTGCTCCACTTCCCTGGCCTGTCCCTGGGGGCTGGGCACCCCCATCCCCCCACTTGGTCTCTAGGTAGTGGGCTGCAGCTTGAAGCAGGAGCCGGTAGCAGCCCTGGGTATGGCTTAAAGTGTCATTTCACGCCCCACTGACCCTTCTTCCCAACAACCCCAGGGGTCCAATTTCAAAGGAGGAAAAGATTAGTGTGAACACAGGTAAGCGACACCAGAGCTGTTGGGGTTCAGGTTTCTGCAGAATGAAAGCTTTCTCCCTCATATGCCCCCCACATTGCAGGGCCCTGCTAGGGCCTTGTTTCCAGGACGTTTTTCTTTTCTTTTCTTTCTTTTTTTTTTTAGATGGAGTTTCACTCTTTCGCCCATCCTGGAGTGCAGTGGTGTGATCTCAGCTCACTGCAGCTTCAGCCTTCCAGTTTCAAGTGATTCTCCTGCCTCAGCGTCCTGAGTAGCTGGGATTACAGGCGCACACCACCACACCTGGCTAATTTTTGTAGTTTTAGTAGAGACTGGGTTTCACCATGTTGGCCAGGCTGGTCTTGAACTCCTGACCTCATGATCCACCCACCTCAGCAGGATTACAGGCGTGAGCCACCATGACTGGCCTACCAGGACTTTTTTCTGGGGGGCTTTGAGGAGCCTTGAGAAGGGAACTTCAAGGATGAGGAAACTGAGGCCCAGAGAAAGGGAAGGATCGGCTCCAGGTCACACAGCTGGTCTGAGGTGTCCAGAGCCTTCCTAGGCCTTGGCAACACAGCAGCTGTGTGAACACGCTAGAGCTGGGAGGAGGGCCGCACCCAGGCCCTGCAAGGTGCCCCTTGCCACCTGCACCCGGGCTCACCTTGTCAAACTCCTGATAGTGTTCCTGGACTGTTTTCTGCAGGAACCAAAGGAACCTCTGGTTGAAGGCCTTGAACCTCTGCAGGGCAGGGTTGGGTAGGTAGCGAAGGATGGGGAAGAAGTCCACAGGGTTCCCAGAGGTGGCATTCTCCGCGAACACAGGACTGTTCTTCACGAGGCTGAGCATCTCATCGCTGCTCTCAGGGAAGTGCTGCCCGAAGCACATGGCACCGATGACTTTGACCACAGACATCACTATCTCATTGTAAGGGTCGAAGCGCCCAGGCCCCGCCATCAGCTCCTGCAACCTGCTGATCAGGGCCTCAGCCTCCTGGCTCACATGCTCCTCCAGGTAGCAGGAGGATGAGGAGGCTGGGTCAGAGGCGATGGAGAAGGTGTTGAGGGCGTTCTGGGCCAGGCGTCGGCGGGCAGCCCACACCGGTCCAGAGTCTGGGCTGAAGGACATGCTCTGGCCATCAGTGATGAGGGTGAAGCTGTAGAGGTCGGGCCGACCCTTGAAATCGTCACCCACCCAAATCTCATCTTGAATTTCCATGTGTTGTGGAAGGGACCTGGTGGGAGGTAATTGAATCATGAGGGTAGGTATTTCCTGTGCTGTTCTAGTGTTAGCGAATAAGTCTCATGAGATCCGATGGTTTTAAAAAGGGGGGGTTCCGTGCACAAGCTCTCTTCTCTTGTCTGCCACCATGTGAGATGTACTTTTCACCTTCTGCCATGACTGTGAGGCCTCCCCAGTCACATGGAACTATAAGTCCATTAAATCTCTTTCTTTTGTAAAATGCCCAGTCTTGAGTATGTCTTTATCAGAAGTGTTAAAATGGACTATACATTGACTATAGTCACCTTGCTATGCTATCAAATACTAGATATTATTCATTCTATCTAACTATATTTTGTACCCATTAACCATCCCCACTCCCTCCCTGCTCTCACTACCCTTCCCAGCCTCTAGTAACCATCATTCTCCTCTCTATCTCCATGCGTTCAATTCTTTTAATTTTTAGCTCTCACATAAGTGAGAACATGTGAAGTTTGTCTTCCTGAGCCTGGCTTATTTCACTCAACATGATGACCTCCAGTTCCATCTACGTTACTGCAAATGACAGGCTCTCATTCTTTTTATGGATGAATAGCACTCCATTGTGTATATGCACCATAGTTTCTTTACCTGGTCGTCTGTTGATGGACACTTAGGGTGCTTCCAAATTTTAGCATTTATGAACGGTGCTGCGGTCAAGATGGGAGTGCAGATATCACTTAGATATACTGATTTCCTTTTCCTTTTCTTTTGGGTATATACATACCAGTGGGATTTCTGGACTGTATTTTTAGTTTATTGAGTTTAGTTATTGAGGAAACTCCAAACTGTTCTCCATAGTGTTTATACTGATTTATATTTTCAACACTGTACAAGGGTCCCCTTACCTCCACAACCTCTGCAGCATTTGTCATTGGCTATCTTTTGGACAAAAGCCATTTTAACTGCAGTGAGAGGATATCTCATTGTAGTTTTGATTTGCATTACTCTGATGATCAGTGATGTTGAGCGCTTTTTCATATACTTGCTTGCCATTTGTATTTCTTCTTTTGAGAAATGTCTATTCAGATCTTTTTCAGGGTTACAGTGGTGCATGCCTGTAATCCCAGCTATCTGGGGGGCTGAGGCAGGAGAATAGTTTGAATTCAGGAGGCAGAGGTCGCGGTGAGCCAAGATTGCGCCACTGCACTCCAGCCTGGATGACAGAGTGAGACGGGGGGGTGGAAAACAAACCCCAAAAAAACTTCTTATAGGGTTCTCAGTGGCTTGGCCTGGGGAGGGTCAGCTCCAGTAACCCTATTGGCTGAGAGTAAGGATGGGGTGATCCCAAAAGGACCACGGATATGATATTGCCAAAAGAAGCTCCAGAGAACAGATTCTGGGCCCCCAAAACCTGCAGATGCCCACTGTCTTTGGGGTGACTATATAGCTTATTATTATCCAAGCCCAGATCTTTGAAGAGTGAAAGAGGGCACTTTTAACAATTCTGCTGGGACAACAGGCTTAGCCTGTCCTGGGAAAGTACTGTCACCCTAACAATAGCAGCCAAGAGCCAGGGAGCCAAGAGCTGCCCCATCTGAGCCTTGACTCCCGCAAACTCAGTCTCTCTGGCTCTCTGGGCACAGGCAGGAGAGGAGGGGAAGGTGCTCAGGCTCAGATCTAAGGAGGAGAAGAGGGTAGCTGGGTGGGAAGAGGACACGTTGGGAGACAATTCCCAATTCTCCACATCCACCCAAACTGCCCCACCCCGACCCCCCACTACCATCTGTTGTTCACGTTGAGCCTCTTCCCTGTGCTAGGAATGCCCTTCCTGTGCTCCTCAGACTCCAGGACCCTTCTCTAGCTCGCCACTCTCTGGAGCATCCCTTTAACACCCCTCCCACCCCAGCCTCCTCACAGCTCCTGCAGCACCTCCATAGCACCTCCAGACTCATCACAGGACCTGTCTGGGGTATGGCTCCCATCTCTACCATGGGGCAGGAGTTTGCTGTGGCTCTTGCTTGTCTCCCGGTCCCCCTTTCCCACAGCCCTCGGCAGGGCTCCCTGACAGCCCTAGGCTGATGATTCTGCTGGGCTAAGCCCTCTCAGCTGTCTCCATCTCTCCGGCCCAGAGCCCTCTCCCCTTCCCAGCTCTTCTGCCCCTGCTCCTGGTATTGATTGCTAGGGAATCCTAGCCAAAGATCTTCTCACGCAAAGGCATGCAAACACCCAGGATGATTGGGTGTTCAGCTCCAGGCCAAGGTCCTCTAACTCCCTCTTCTCTGCCCAGTGCCCAGTGAGGGTCCCCTTCCTGTCACTGTGAGCTATTGGCCACGACAGGGCTTGGTGATGAGACATGCGACACCTCTTGTAACCCCAGTGCATCAGCCCAGGGGTATGGAGAGGTGGGGGGCCCTGGCCCAGGGGCTGTGTCTATCTACCTTTGGCCCCTCAGACTTCTCTCATAGTCTAGGATGGTAACTTATGGTGAGAAGAGCCCTGGCCTGGAAGCAAGAAGCTGGAGTTCCAGGCTCTGCTTTGATTTGCCATGTGTCCCTGGGCCTTTTCTTTTCTGGCACCCATCTCTCCACCTAAGAAGTAAGAGAGGAATTGACTTTATTAGCTAATGAATTTTTGAGGAGTTGAGAGCCTCTTAGAGAATACAAACAAAGCAACAGACTTTCTTTTTCTTTTTGAGACAGAGTCTCATACTGTCACCTGGGCTGGAGTGCAGTGGCACGATATTGGCTCAGTGCAACCTCTGCCTCCCGGGTTCCAGCAATTTTCCTGCCTCAGGATCCCGAGTAGCTGGGATTACAGGTGCCTGCCAACTGCGCCTGGCTAATTTTTTGTATTTTCAGTAGATACGGGGTTTCACCAGGTTGGCCAGGCTGGTCTTAAACTCCTGACCTCATGATTCGCCCGCCTCAGCCTTCCAAAGTGCTGGGATTACAGGCGTGAGCCACTGCGCCCGGCCTAAAGCAATGGACTTTCTATTGGGAGAAAGGTCGGTTGTTGGGAGCCCCAGCACTGGATGGTCTTCCAGTCCTGATGACCAGGCTGCCATGATTCTCCAGAGCTGTGGCATCGGTGGGGAACCTGGAAGCTGAAGAAGAGGTTGTGCTGCAGTGCAGGTTGGAGGATTGAAGAGTGCCTTGCTCTCTACTTCCTTGCCATGGCTTTCACACAGGGTCGTTCTCTCAGTGGCTCGCTCCAAATAGGATTGAAGGACACAATTCTCCTGGGTACCATGAAGCTTCTCAGGCTGAGTCAGAGATGCAGAGGGTAGAACAATTGGAAAGATGCTGAGAAAGCCCAGTAATACCTCCCTTGTCTGCTGCCTGTTCTGCTGCCTAAATTCCACCTTTATAGCATCAGCACTTTGGATTCAACATCTCTCTTGCCATTTAGCCTATGTGTAGTATAGCTATATCTAACTCTTTTACCAGTTATTAATATCTTGCCCAGACTTGGCTTATCAGGCTAATTTCCCGCAGGTTGGTTTTCCTTGTTAGAGCATACGGTGAGGAGCAGCAGGTTGCATTGGGCTCATAGCAAGTGTCCAACGTCCTAAGAATTACCATGGAGAAGTGCTGGATACAGTGATCAGGAGAAACCTAATTTTCTGCGGGGAGAATCCAGAAAAGCATCTGAGGAAGTGATGTTTTAAATGAGACTCAAGGTAGGAGGCACTAGAACTAGAAGCAGGTAGACCTGGGAGGTTCTGCAAAAGATTCTCATTGCTACCTTCCGAGTGGTGGGAGCTACCAAAGGGGTTTAAGCAAGGTGGTGATAGAATGAGATTTTGTGTTTTTGACAGGACCACTCATTTTTGACAGGGTGCCACAGGGTAGAGAAGGAACTGGAGGGAGCAAAAGGCAAATGGGAACCTAGGTGGAGACTAAGTACTCCAGGGAGCAATGATGGGCCCTGGATGAGCTGTGGCAGTGGAGCTGGCCAGATGCCAAAGCGGAGAAATGTGCCTCCTATCCTCAGCACAGTAGCCCAAGGGGACAGAGCGAGAGGGCGCACCGTCCCCTCCAAGCTGCACGGGTGACTGAAGTCCCAACACGTGCCCTGAACCCCACATCCTGCAATCCCTCTTTCCTTTTGCCCCTGAGTCCCACAGCGCTCCCTGTACAGACAGTACTGCACAGCCCAGGAGCTCACGTCGCCCTCCATCTCCACATCCTGCACAGGACTGAGCCCACGAAGCCTTGGTCCCTAACACACTTGTTTCATCACATCAGTTGGTGAGTCCACCCTGCCAAGGAGTGACACCTCGTCCCCTCTCAGGGCCACGCTGAGGTTGTTTGAGGGCAGGGCAGCCGGGGTTCCAGGCCTGGGATGAGTCTAGGCTGAGCCCTCAGTGCTCACTGGAGAGCCCCCATCCCGAATCACTGGTAACTACTCAGCCATCCCAGGCTCCCTACTCCATCCCCTGCTCCCTGGCCCAGGCCCTGCCCTCCCGTCTTCACATGGCCCCTGTCTCAGCTCCTCCAGCTCCGGGAAACAAGGGCCCAGTGTGGTCCCAGAGAACCCAGTCCACATGGCAATGGGAGACCAGAGCCAAGATCTCTGCCTGGGAGGTCCCACCTCCAGACTGATCTCTCATTCCTGGAGGGCACTGTCCCAGCTCCACCCCAGCCTGTCCCTGAGCTCACCTCTCTGCCTCTGGTGGGGTCCACATTGCAGATTCCGGCTCCTTGGCAGACCTGGGCTCCCACAGCTCGTGGGGGCTGGGAGGCAGAGATGCTGCTGGGTGTGTCAGGGATAGCAGGACCCTGTTCCCTTGCCCCCACCCCGTTCTGTGCATCATTAGCTCCGCCAAGGCTGTTGGGCAACTCAGCTGAGGCCCAGGCCCAGTTCTATACAGCTGGGGAGACTGTGTGGCAGGGATGGTGAGCCAGTGGGTAAACTGAAGAGGGTCATAGGATCACTGAGTGTCAGAGCTCCCCAGAGGCCCTTCCCCACACCACACCCAGTGTACAGATGGAACTGTGCAGGTGAGCCCCACACCCGCTGTGCAGATGGAACTGTGCAGGTGAGCCCCACACCCCGTGTGCAGATGGAACGGTACAGGTGAGCCCCACACCCCGTGTGCAGATGGAACTGTACAGGTGAGCCCCACACCCAGTGTGCAGATGGAGCCGTGCAGGTGAGCCCCACACCCCGTGTGCAGATGGAACTGTACAGGTGAGCCCCACACCCCGTGTGCAGATGGAACTGTACAGGTGAGCCCCACACCCCGTGTGTAGATGGAGCCGTGCAGGTGAGCCCCACACCAGGTGTGCAGATGGAACTGTACAGGTGAGCCCCAGACACGGTGAAGGGCTTGGTCAAGGCCACTGGCCAGTTTGGGGAAGAGCTGGGACTAGAATCTCCATCGGTGTTTGTGGAACCCTTGTCCCTTGACGGGCGAGCGAGGATTCCCAGCGGCTCCATCCACAGGCTGTGGGGCTGGAGGCTGGTGGGTGGGGCTTGGCTGGTGCCCACTCAGGTAAATGCCTGTGTAGTCCCCCAGAGAAGCCACAGTGGGCAGAGTGGGGAAGGGCGAAGTCGGGCCCACCTTCCGCTTGCAGACACTGGGAGCCGGCCTGGGGTCTCTGCTGGGATCTGCCCTGTGGGAAGAGGGCAGGTGGCAAGGACTCGGGAGCACTTGGGCTGCTCCGGGGTGGCTGCCCTCCCTTCAGCCTGTCAAAATTGACCAGATTCTTATGTCCCTGTCCTTGGGTGGGCATGCTCAGGCCACCCTGACCTGGGGCACCTGACTCTCACCCCTAGCAACTGGTGCTGAGGGTCCTGGCAGCCAAAGTCCTGCTCCTGCCTGCGGGTTCCCAGCTCACGCTGGGGGCAAGAGCCTTTCCGTTCATGGACAGATGGGCCGTGGCAGCCCCAGAGGCCTCACACCGCTGAGCCTGAGCTCCCCGGTACTCGGGGCCAGGGTGGAGAACTTGGGGCCCATTAAACACACAGGAGGCTGAGGCCCCAAGGGGAAGGGCTGTGGCTGCGGCAGAACCCGGCCTCCCACTTTAATCCTCAAGGCCCCTGACTTCAGGTGTGGGGAGGGCTCTAGGGTCCTCAGGAGGGTTCCTTGGGGGCCCTGACTGCAGATGGGGCTACCTCACGCCACCCCAGGCAGCCCAGCTCCTGCCCACCTTCCACCTCTGGATCCCAGCAGCCAGCTGGTGGTTCGCCCTCTCCAGAGCCTGCAGCCTGCTCCTGTGACTGGCCAGGAAGGGGTGGGGAGGGGCAGGCTGCATGCCCATCCAGAGGCCCCGCTCCCCCATCCTCTCACGCCCACAGAAACCCTCACACAGCTCTTGGGTTTGGGCAGGTCCAGCCTTCAGAGGGGAGCGGATCTCCTCCTGGGCCCGGGCATGCCCTCCCTGGCTGGGCATGTGGACTAGGGACGCAGGGGGCTCACGGGGCAGCACCCACCCGGTCTCACCGCAGCTCCCCCTGTGCACATTCTCGCCTCTCTGCAGTGGTGTGAGGGTCCTGTGGTTACATGAGGGGAGAAACAAGAGGGAGCACTGGGGCCCTGAGGTCTCAAGTCGCACCCAATCCAAACCACCCAGCCGGGAGGGTGGCAGGAAGCAAACAGGGGGCACAAGGGTTGAACTGTATCCCCCCCAACAACAACACGAGATATATTGAAGTGCTCAGTACCCCGTGATGAGACAGGATCATCACAGAGGTAATCAGGCTAAAATGAAGAAACGAGGCTGGGCCTTAATCCAAGGTGACTGGAGTCCTATACACAGGGGAAACGTGGGCACAGGCAGACACACAGCGAGTCGCCATGCAGACATCTGGGGAGGAGTGTCAAAGTCTGCTGGCAAAGCACCAGAAGCAGGGGGCGAGGCCTAGAACAGACCCTCCCTCACAGCCCTCAGAAGGAACCAACCCTCCCGACACCCTGACCCGAACTGCAGCCTCCAGAACCAGGAGACAGTGAATACCTGCCGCTGAAGCTACCCCGTCTTCAGCACTTTGTCACCACAGCCCCAGGAATCTCACACAGATGGTAAGTGGAATCCAGCCCCTGTGGCAGCTCTCTGGCCCCAAAAGGACCCTGACTTCGAGGGGAACTTTCTCCTCCAACTGGCCACACCTGCAGCAGCAGGACGTGTGCAATCGTAGTGGCGAACACCTGACCGAACACCATGTGTTTTCATGTGCTTGTCCTTGTAACCCTCTTCAGGATAACCGTTATTTTCACTTTTGCAGGTAAGGCCCAGAGAGGCAGAGTAACTGGCCAAGGTCACACAGCTAGTATATCTTGAAGCCAAGATTGAAACCCACAATCTTATCCACTAATCCGGGGACAGTGCAGACTACTAAATCCTGGGATTGGAGGCAGACTGAGATAGAGACCCAGAGAGAGTTGGGTGGAGGAGCTTGAGGCTGGGGATGTGACTGGAGGAGGAGCATGCCAGAGCCCCTGGGAGCACTGGGTGCTGAGCTCTTGAACCCCTGGTCAGTCTGATGTTGATGCAATGTGGCTTCATCCAGACCCTATCCAGCTGCTGCCCCACCTCCGAGAGGCTCGCCCTGCTGGAAGAGCACTGCTCGTTTGGTCCATTGGCCACTCTGCGCAGGACCCCTGCGCGTAACCCAGGGTCTGCACCATAGGCCACCCTCGCTGGACAGGCCCAGGGCCCCGGGCCCCCACCTGCCCGTAGAAGGTGAGTCCTGGGTTGGCCTCCCAAGTGTCTAGGGAGGGAGTAGAAACGGCCTGAAAGTCTCCAAGGGGCTGGAAGGCCCTGCATGTGGGTCGCAAATTGGCAGAGGCTTATGTGTCACGTGCAGGCTACGTGCATATGGCTCCCCTGGCACCACTTCCTACCACGAGACGAATCTGCCAAGGGCCCAGCCCTCTGTCACTCCACTACCTTCTCACTGACGTTGTCCACTGCAGGTCCTCAGACTTGACCAGAGAATATAGCCCATCCAGGCCCTGAGGATATATCCTCTCCCGCTCCCAGTCTGGTTTGAGACAGAAGAAAAAGAAAAAGAAAGAAAAGAAAACACTAAGATTTTCTTCTGTACAAATATACAGTGGCAGACTACACTGCAAACATAAGGAACCGCCCCCCTCTGAGCACAGCTCTGTGCCCGTCTGAGATACACTGAATTGGACCAACTCGGCCTTGAATGAGGCCCAAGGCCAGCTAAGCTTTCTCTCCCTTTCCTTCCATCCAGATCAGCAGGTCAGCTTCAGTCGGGGGCCTCCTGGCAGAAGTGGATCCCACCTGGGGTCCTTACAGCTCTACCTCCCTATGGCTCCCAGGCACCTGGCTGGTGTCTGTATCTCTGTGTCTCTGTGTGTGCATATCTGGGAGTGCATGCACATGTCTGATGTGTACCTTGGGGGGAGTGTGCATGTGTGTCTGTGTGTCTGTCTGCCCATGCACACATACACTTCCCCAGAAGACTAAGGGATGCTGGCCAGGAGAAGGCAGCCACCAAGCTGGAGTTGAAGTCAGGTGGACAGGAGCTGGGACGTCTAAGCCCTGGATCTGGACCCTGTCCCACGTCCATAGTAACCCCTCGGCCACTCTGCCTCTCATCTGATCAGGGACTGTTTACAACACTCCTCCTCCATCTCTGATGTATGCACGTGTAGTTTCCTCTTGCTGAAATGCCCTTCATTCCCTCCGTGCTCCTGGAAAATGACAGCCTATCCTGTGTGAGGGTTCAGAGGCTCAGAAACGCCTTCTCTGGGAAGGACTCTCTTATCTGCCACCCCTAACCAGCTCCCATAGTGCCTCTTCCCTCATCTGGCACATTAAGTTATCATTGCTTGCAAAATAGGCACAGTGGCTCGTGCCTGTAGTCTCAGCACTTTGGGAGGCCCAGGCGGGAGAACTGCTTGAGGCCAGGAGTTCGAGACCAGCCTGGGCAATGTCGTGAGACTCCAAGTCTACAAACATAAAAAATAAAAAACTTAGGCATGTTGATGTCTGCCTGCAGTCCCAGCTACCTGAGGCCGGAGGATCACTTGAGCCCAGGAATTTGAGGCTACAGTGAGCTATGATTGCACCACTGCACTCCAGCCTTGGTGACAGAGTGAGACCCTGACCCAATTAATCAATCAATCATAAAACAATAATCAATAATAAATTGTTAATAATTAAATCAATAATAAATGCTAAATGAATGTTGCCTCCAAACCATAAGCTGTTGAGGACAAGGAGTGATCAGATTTGACCTTGCTTCTGCACACAGAAGATGGCCAGGCATGTAGTAGATGCTCAGTAAATGCGTGCTGAACACATGGATGGAGAATGATGAGCCACGATGAGGAAAAGGCAGAAAACGGAAGGACACATAGGATCATGATGGGGACTTCGTGAGGAGGGGTAAGAGACTAGCTGGTTACCCCCAGTCCCTAGCATGGGAAAGACTGGGCAGTGGGGAAGACAATGGGGAGAAGGGGATTCTGGGAGATGGAGAAGGAGGGATCCGGAGAGTGCCCACCTGGGGAGGCCAGGTCCCACTCTGCCTCTGGAGTCTCTGCAGTTCCTCCTCTTGAAATTCCATGGCAACTGCCACCTGGTGCCAGTGTGCCTTCCAGTACTGCGCCATGTCCTCACGAAGCCTGGGATGTGAGTCTTGTGCCTCTAGCTCTTTCCTGAGGGGCACTGGTGCCTCCTGCACCTCTCGTGGACTGGAAGAAATGGGGTACAGGTACAGCGTGGACCCCAGATCACCCCAACCACACTCCCTTTTAATGATTCGTTTCTCATTATGTTCTATGGACTGGGGGGGTGGGGCAGAGATGCCTCTTTCATGGCGCCCCACACACAGAACCGCTTTGTACTGGGCACTTACCCCAAGCACCCTGACTTGCATCCAGCAGCTAAGGTCGTCTCACCCCCACCTCCCACCTGCCCCTGGGCCAGCAGGAGGGGCTTGGCCATGTGTAGGTAAGACAGGACTTCTTGAAGCTGAAAGATTTCCCTCCTCATAAAAGAGCCAGAATGTGACCAACAGGAGCGCTGATAGCTGGGGAAGGGAGACCGGACTGGACACGTGATTCCGGGTTTAGGGCTCTGGGCCATTCCCCCTCAGCCAGCTGGTGACAGAGGCTGGCCTACTGCCTGCTGAGAAGGCCACCTCACCCACTGTGAAAGCAGAGCACCCACCCCAGCCTATCTTGGACACTCTGAGGATGGGCCCGAGCAGTCACCCAGCAGGGCTCTTGGCCCGGGCCACACCCAGTGCCGCTGGCAGCACTGCCTTCTCCCCGGGTAGCCAGGTGCGCTCTGCCTCCGGGGCCTGCACACGGCCCCCCAGCACCGTGTGCTCTCCCTGCAGATGCTGCAGCTGCTCCAAGCAGGCCCCTAGTTGCTGGCAGCTCCAGTCCAGCTCTTCTGAGAGTCCTTTGTTCACCTGGGAAGATACCCACCCCACCGAGTTGTGGCTCAGCCTCCACCAGGGCTGTGGGGCTCCAGCTGTCCTTCGGGCCTTTACCCATGCAGCTCCCTGGTCTCAGAGGCCCTGATCTCCTCTTCCTCTGGGTCTCAACCCTCTTAGGAGGACTCTCTGACCACCACAGCCCGCAGAGCCTCGTCCACACTCCAGGCTCCACTCTGGACCAGCGCCTGGCTGCACACTGGCAGGGGGGCCAGTTACGTGAGGATGAGGATGGTGCTCTCTGGAGTCTCGCTGTGTGGACGTCCTGCTAGAATCTGTCTCTCCTGGTTATTTTCCTTTCCTCTGTTCCCCTAGAGGCCCTTGCCCTACCTTGGAATCCCCTAGGAACGGAGCCCAGGGACCCTTGCCTCTGCCCCCTGGTACAGCTGGGCATGGCCTGGATCAGCTGATGCCCAGATTCCCTTCCCTGTGAGGCTGCCCCTGCCAGCTGTCTTGACCAACCTCGGTGAACATCAGCAACTGTTCCTGCAGACGGACTGTGTCCTGAGCTTGGGCGGGGGTCTGAGCTGCCCACATGGAGACCATGTCCGGAAGCTCCTGGGCCCTGCGTCCATCCCAGCTCTGCCCTTGGATCTGCAGGCCTGGCACCAGCATCTCCTGCGGATACACTCGGTACAGAATCCTTGGGTCTCCTTCCAGCCGCCAGACCACACTGGGGTGGTCTTTGCAGACATTCGATGCCTCAGGGCATGCTGTTGCCGGATCATGTCCCCGACTCAGGGTGCGACTCTGAACAAGCTGTCCTCTGCCCTCGGGTCTCAGTCTTCCCATCTCAACCAGGAGGGACGTCGCTGAATGATCCCAGGCTATTTCCAAATGTTGGAAGAAGAAGATCCCTCTCTGGGCTGGACTAAGCCCCTGCACTGCCCTCC